TTAACTGCCACTCAGAGTGAGGAATCAAATCCAGCTGATTTGGATTTTGATGTGTCTCAAAGTAAGTTAAATAATGAGGAAGTCCTTAGACAATGAGCAATCTGTCTCAAGAACAGAGAACTGAAGTGAAAGGCTTGTTGCAGCAATATGAGGACATATGTAGGAATAGAATGGGGAGGACTAATATAATAGTATATGAGGTTAGAGTAGGGAATGCTATTCCGATTAAAAAACACCCCTACAGGCTTAATCATCTTAATGCCACACAGGTACAGAAGGAGGTGGAAGTGATGATCCAAGAAGCATCACCAAGCCGAGTCAAAGTGAGTGGAGTTCGCCGGTCGTGTTGGTTCCGAAGCCTGACGGTATTCAACAACTCTGTGTAGATTATTGAAAAGGCAATGCCATAACTAAATCGGACTCATACCCAATTCCAAGGCTGGATGACTGTGTGGAAAAAGTTAGACAAGCCACTTATATCACAAAGTTTGACTCACTCAGTGGTTACTGGCAAGTCAGAGAGACTGAAAGAAGTTTCTGCGTTTGTAACCCTAAATGGGCTGTATCAATTTAAAGTAATGCCCTTTGGAATGAAGAGTGCATCAACCACATTCTAAAGCCTTATGAAGAGAGTTGTGGCAGGACTGACAAATTGTGCCGTCAATATAGATGACTTGGTGATCTTTAGCCATTCATGGAAAGATTACATGGTGTATTTGGCAGAACTCTTTGAAATACTACGGGAGGCAAAACTGGTTATAAATTTAGCAAAAACTGAATTTGCGAAGGCAGAAGTGATGTTCTTGGGACACAACATCGAATATGGAATGATGACCCCGAAGAACATGAAGACGAAGGGCAGTGAGGAACTTCCAAGACCATCCTTAAAGAAAGAGATGCTTCGATTTTTGGGACTGAGCGGATTCTACCAGAGGTTAGTGTCAAACTTTAGTAGCGTGGTGGCACTGTTGACGGATTTGCTACAGAAGAACACAAAATTTCAGTGGACAGAACAATGCCAGGTGGCATTTGAGAATTTAAAAGCCATGCTAACCACTGCACCAGTTTTAGGCACACCAAATTTCTTGAAACCCTGTAAAGTTGGTATCGACACCAGCGATATAGGGGTTGGAACTGTGTTATGCAGGAGGATGATGGTGGAGTTGAAAGGTTATTTTTCAAAGAAACTCAATATTCATCAGACAAAATACCCCACCATTGAAAAAGAGTTATTGAGTTTGGTACTAGCCTTACAACAATTTAATGTTTATGTTATAAATAATGTTTCGGAGATGGTTGGGTATACAGACCACAACTCTCTCACATTTTTGGAAAGATTTAAAGACACAAACATGAGACTATTTCATTGGAGTCTTATGTTACAGGCTTATAATTTACTAATTGTACACGTGGCGGGTCATAAAAATGTTACTGCAGATATGTTATTGCAGGTTTAAAAGAAAATGCGTAGATAAGATAGAACCGGTACAGCCAATGGTACATATAAGAACATAGGAACATAAGAACTAGGAGCAGGAGTAGGCCATCCGGCCCCTCAAGCCAGCCCCGCCATTCAATAAGATCATGGCTGATCTTTTTGAGACTCAGCTCCACTTATCCGCCTGCACACCATAACCCTTAATTCCTTTACTGTTCAAAAATTTAGCTAGCCTTGCCTTAAACACATTCAGCGAGGTAGCTTCAACCGCTTCACTGGGCAGGGAATTCCACAGATTCACAATCCTTTGGGTGAAGAAGTTCCTCCTGACCTCAGTCCTACATCCACTTCCCTTTATTTTGAGGCTGTGCCCCCGAGTCCTAGTTTCACCTGCTAGTGGAAACAACCTCCCTGCCTCCACCTTATCTATTCCCTTCATAATCTTATATCTTTCTATAAGATGTCCCCTCATTCTTCTGAATTCCAATGAGTATAATCCAAGCCTACTCAGTCTCTCCTCATAATCCAACCCTCTTAACTCTGGAATCAACCGAGTGAATCTCCCCTGCAACCCCTCCAGTGCTAGTATATCCCTTCTCAAGTAAGGAGACCAAAACTGCACACAGTACTCCAGGTGTGGCCTCACCAGGACCCTATACAGCTGCAGCATAGCCTCCCTGTCCCTCTGCACAGCAGCGTGCTGCAATTTTTTACCATTTAAAACATAGTCCATTTTGCTGTTATTCCTACCAAAATGGATGACCTCACACTTATCAACATTGTACTCCATCTGCCAGACCTTTGCCCACTCACTTACACTATCTATATCCCTCTGCAGACTTACAGTGTCTTCTGCACACTTTGCTCTACCACTCACCTTAGTGTCATCTGCAAATTTTGACACACCACACTTAGTCCCCAACTCCAAATCATCTATGTAAATTGTAAACAATTGCGGTCCCAACACTGATCCCTGAGGCACATCACTAGCCACTGACCACCAACCAGAAAAACACCCATTACCCCTACTCTTTGCTTTCTACTAGTCAACCAATCCTCTATCCATGCCAATACATTACCTGTAATACCATGCAACTTTATCTTATGTAGCAGCCTTTGGTGTGGCACCTTGTCAAATGCCTTCCGGAAATCCAGATACACCACATCCACAGATTCCCCATCGTCCACCATGCAAGTAATGTCCTCAAAGAATTCCACCAAATTAGTTAAACATGACCTACCCTTCATGAACCCATGCTGGGTGTTCCCAATGGGAGAATTTATATCCAGATGTCTTGATTAAATGATTAAATTTGATAAAGGCGGCATACATACTATCATGAGTAACAGAATTCAAACAGCTCTTAGAGATAAGAACGTCTTGGAAAGGCCAGAAGGAGTATATAAATAACTTTTGGAATGCGAATTAATAGGATGCATAGAAAGATCCCAAGGCCCAGAGATTACAATGTCTAGTAAACATCGTGAGATCATGAGAACCTGGGCTGTCCCAAGGAATGCCAATCATTGATTAGGTGTCCCATGGAACTGAGTGTTTGGATTAAGGGGAAGGATAGTGACTATGTTGTATTTGATTGTTGTAACACAAAGTGTACAAAAATGCTGTACGTCTTTGTAAAATCAGAGTATGTCATTGATCTCCCTTCCGATTTGGGGAAGTTTCTTTTGCCCTCTCCCTGCATCAATTGGTTTTTGTTTGAGTAAACATCTTCCACTTGCCTGAATCCTGCCTGTCTCCGGTCAGGGTGTACGCTCCTATACCATCCATTTACCAAGGGCAAACGTGATATACAAAAATTAGAATATGAGCAACAAAATTAAACGATGTAAAGATCTACCTGTGTCTGCAAAAACAGAGTGTTTCTGGACCAACTAATTTGCAGTCAATGCCATTGGGTGATGTCCAGCTGACGAACAATCGATTTCGCAATCGTATTGGCAATACTTCCTTCTTGTACCTTTCGTACTCCTCTGGTGTGAAAAGGGTGCCACCATCATCTTCACCAACAATTCTATGATCAAAAATAATTAAAATTAAACCTGCAATTATCAATTGAATTGTTCAACAAAAAGTTGCACAGAAAACAGATTCAAACAATTTTGTTTCTAAATAAATTGAAGGTACTGCATTGTTAATATTGTGACACTTAAGGAAGTACAATTGTTTTAAAATGTATTGATAGGATGAACCATATTTGTCTTCTTTTTCCCATTTGTTTATATAAATTTTATGGTTGAGTCACAATAAAAAACTGCGAAGTTTTTTCAACTTTTGCTTTTGCCATAAAAAATTATTTGCAGCTTCGATTTCTAAATTCAGCCACCCAAGAAGATTCAGTTGGGACTCGCTATAAACCTTACAAGTAGAATTCGAGCAACTTTCTTCACGTGCTGAGGAGTGGAGTTCAGGACTGAGTAGCAGAAAAGGAATGAGTAAGAGCATTGGATAAATCAATCAAGGCCTAAGGCCTATCAGACAGTTGGGGTTCCACCAGGACCACTCAGCTCCTGACCTCACTACAGCCTTGGTCCAAGCATGGACCAAAGAGCTAACTTCCAGAGGTAAGATGCGAGTGAATGTCCATGACATCAAGACATCATTTGACTAAGAATGGCATCAGGGAACTCTAGCAAAACATGGAGACAAAAGGAACGAGGAGGAAAACTCTCAACTAGTTGGAGTCATACCTTGCAAATGAAAGATGGTAGTGATTCGTTGAGGTCAATCATCTCAGTCCTAGCACATCACTGCAGGCATTCTTCATGGTAGTGTCTTTTAGGCCCAACATTCTTCAGCTGCTTCATCAATGAACTTCTCTCCATCGTAAGGTCATGAGTTGGGGTGTTTATTGAAGATCCAGCATTCCTCAGATATTGAAGAAATCTGTGTCCATATACAGCAAGATCAAGATAATATCCAGGTTTCAGCCAATAAGTGACATAGAAGTGAGAGACAATGACCATCTCAAACAAGAGAGAACCTAAGAATCTTCTCTTGACATTCAATGGCATTACCATCACTGAATTCTTCAACTATCATCATCACAGAGATTATCACTGACCAGAATCTGAACTGGACTAGCCATATAAATACTGAGTCTACAAGAACAGGTCAGAGGCTAGGAATTTTGTGGTGAGTAACCGCCTGACTCCCCAGTGCCTGTTTACCATCTATAAGGCAAAGGTCAGGGGTTTGATGGAATACTCTCCATTTGCCTGGATGGATGTATCTTCAACAACACTCAGGAAACTTGACATCATCCAGGACAAAACAGCCTGCTTGACCTTCCATCCACCACTGACATGGACTGGCAGCCGTGTGTAATATCTCCAAGATATACTGTACGAACTCACCACGACTCCTTTCATAGCATCTTCCAAACTTGTGACCTTCACCACCTAGAAGAACAAGGGAACCTGATGAATGGGACAACACCACCTGCATGCCTACACCCCAAGGACTGCGGCGGTTCAAGAACGCAGCTCACCACTACCTCCCAAGAGCAATTAGAAATGAGTGATAAATGCTGGCCTAGCCGTTGATGCCCACAACTCATGAATGAATGAGAAAAAGACAGCTTCCTGATCATCGATCAAGACATGCTATCCCAAAGAGATATCAGAGAATGAAACAGTTGTTGGCCTGCATTTGGCAAAGTGCCGCAGTGTTGCAGAAATAAATTGCAGCCTCGCTTTTTTTTGATCCACTAAGCAATTGTAATGCTAGCTGAAAGGGAGCTAAATTTGTTTTTTCCCTAGTATTCACTATTTTAATGAAAAAAACTTAAAAAGGTAACTCATTTGTACAGGAAATTATTTGGAATCCACCTATGAAATATATTAGAATGCACCGAAGCATTGCTGACTACATTTGAATCTATTAGGAATGATTTTCAATTGCCCTGTTAATGACTGCACTCTTACAAAATAATATATTTCCACAGGATAGGCAGGGTAAAACATATCATACAAGAGAAATAAATAAAAATATTACATTAAACCAGCAGTAATAGGGAAAAAAAAGCTTTCTTAAAAATATGGAATGGAGAGTTCATGTGGCAGCTCCAAGCTGGTCCTTCTACAATCCTACTCAGTCAAACAGCATATCCACTTCCTTAATCCACAGCTAAGACTTTGTAGTAGACAGATTGGCAAAACTCCAGAATATTCATCTATCCCAATCTTCATGTTTAAATAAAAGAAAAATACTGTGATACTGGATATATAAAATAGAAACAGAAAGTGCCAGAGAAACTCAGGAAGTCTGGCCGTATCTGTAGGAAGTGAGTGGAACAGATGGTGATTGTGCCTCGAGCAAAGGAAAAAGAGAGTGCTAATGTTAGTGCTAATAGTTGCTCTTCAAATATTAGATTTGAAATTTGCACTCCCCAACTTGTCCCCGATCCCTAGTACAGAACCAGAATTAGGACTTCTTGTGATATATTTAATCATCTCTATCTATTCTATTTATTGTAAAAAGAAGTTAATTAAACTTTGACTCAGAAACTGTTTTCACCTTTCATATTGATTATGTAAACATTGTTAGCCACAGGCTGCAGAGAGATAGAAAGAGAGAAAGAAAGGTACAAGCTGCTGACATCGCTGCCTGGGGACATGATAGCCAGAAGCTGCAGAACGATAAAAAGAGTGGGGTACCAACTGCCAAAATCGCTAACAGGAGGTACCGAATGCAAAGGTGCTGATATGAAGAAAGAAGCAGCTTGTGAACTAAAAACGACCTGCGCCCAAGTGCTAATTTGAGCCAATTTAAACCGGTTTGAATTAACTAAGTTCTGCAAAAAGTAAGAAAGTTAATGTAAAAGCCTTATTTGGATGAGAAATGATGAGATAATGTTACCTACATCTCTGGGCCGGGGCCAATAAGGTAAAGGCATGCGATAAGTGAATTAGCCTGAGCCAACGGGAAGAAGACAGCACGACTTGACAGAGATAAGAGAAAAAATAAAAAGAAGACCCTTGGGCCACACACCCAGCAAAAACTCCGGAGTCCAACCATACCAGAAGCAGACCCTACATCAAGGACGCGGTGACGACATCGATTGCAGCACCCGGCCAGCCTCAGCCCTCATCAGCAGCAGCAGCTATCCTGATCGGATATTAGCTTTTATATTGTGTGACTACTTAGAGAGCGTCAGAGGACTCCAGTGGGTATGTAAGTAGGTCCTAGTTCAGTTTGTGGGAAAATATATAAGATCCAGTTTTGTGATAAAAGATTTAAGTAACATGTGTCTTGTTTAATACACTAATAATTTGTGAGGTTATGAGAATTGACTCTTCTCGTCGCTGTATAACGCCGATAACTGCAGCCGGTGTTCTCTGGGCTCCGGACAACATATTATGGTGCCACGACTCGGATCCGAGGGTAGAACTCTCCGTTGATTCAGCGGGAGACTTGGGTTGGACCAAGTGGGAGCTTTGGGCTCAAGGGAAGACCTCTCCGCTGTGTCAGCGGGAGACGTGAGTCGAACCAAATCGGCAGAGGACAGAGAGAACAGGAATTTGGGGTTAATCTGTAGCCTCCAGTATAGAATGATGAATCAGGAGGGAATGGACTGTCCTGATTGAACGGGGCTCCTCTGCAAATGCATAATAGGGAAGTGGCTACAATATGGGAAAATACAGGTCACACTGGGGACAAGGAAAAGTCTGCTGGGGCAACCCTTTGGCAGGTAGCCCAAATAAAGATGTCAGACAAGAAGTTTAAGTCATAACAGAAGGTGGTAGCGATCGGTTGTTTAATGGAGGAATGGGTGGAATGCCGGCAGCTAGCCAAGTCAAAGAAGGTAGAGAGGGAAAGACTAGAAGAAGAGAATAAGCGACTTCATGATGAGGTAGCCCGCCTTAGTGAAAAGGTAACCAATCTGCAGGGACAGGGGTGCACAGAATTGGTACATATGAATCGGTACCAGATGCAGTGTGAGAAGCTGGTTAGGGAAAGGAGTTAGCAAGAGGGAGAAGTCCAAACAGCTAAAGATGAGGTGAAAGATTGGAGGCAAAAATTTAAAATCTGCAATGAACGTGATTCAGAGAACAGCTCAGGAGGAGTACTGCCGCAGATCACACAAAATGTCAAAGACAGGTAAAGAAGCTGCAAGGTCAGCCAGCCGCGCAGAGAAGCATAATGTGCACCTATGCATCTGAAAGAAGTGAGGAAGGCAGTGAAGTGGATATAGATTGGGATGATTTAGCAGACGAAACAGCTAGGTACAGTCATGATGACGGGGAGCCTCCACCAGAGGATCTACTGCCAGCTTATGACCCAGGGTCGGGGACCCCGTCCGCTCCAATCTTGATGGCCTCCCCATTGTAACCACTAGAGGAGATTATGGGCAGCTGGTCAGATGGTAGTAGGTGAGAGGGTAGTATATTTCACCCCATTGGGGGTACAGCAGTTGAGGGACATTGCGAAAGATATTGCGACATGCGCACCTGGGGTTGATCCTTGGGAGCTGTTCCGAGTGGTCAGTCACCAGAGGGAAATACATGGTTTAGATGATGCTGAGGAAAGAAAATTAATAATAATGTGCCTGCACCCACATATACACTCTGCCTTACCAGAAGAGCAAAAAGTTGGTAGAGACACAAGTGAGGCTTTAAAAGGTGTTATGGACACTAACAGAGCAGACCCAGTGGAGATGCTGATGAAGTGCTACCAAAGAAAAGGTGAACACACCATCGCGTTTGTGGCACATCTTTGGGTGGTGTTTCGGGGGTATATGGTACAGCCTTGGACAGGAACAATCTGGAGTTAGAGGCAAGGAACCAATGGCTGAGAACGCTGGTGTCGTATGGCACTGAGGAGTCAAGGAGGGCGTTAGAGCTGTTTGTTCCCATTGATGACATGCACACAGAGGCTTGAGTAATCAGGACGATGGTTAGAGCCTGGGATTGGGAAACAACAAAATTTCTGTAGACTTCTGGGGTAAGAATGACACCTGTTAAAGATCAGGCAAGAATCTAGACAAATGAAGGGAGAAGATCTACTCAGACA